TTTAGCGCGGGGGGGCGGGGGGGGGAACTCTAACAAGAGCTCCCCTTGCCCCCGCCAGCACCCCTGAGAAGTCCTAGGAGGGCAGCAGGGTTTCTTGCTGGAGTGTGTGGAGAGAGGGCTTTTTTTTTGTTTTTATTACTAGTGCTATTTTTTTCTTCAATGAGCGTTGCTTTGACTTGCCCTCTGGGCCAAGCAGACGTTGGACCCAAGATCAAGTGTACTTCTGAGTAACACGTGCGTGCTGCGCGTGGTTCATATCTGGTTGTTTTACGCTGGGGCACTAGGCTCGTATAACACCAGGGGCTGCAGATAAACACCTTTATCACTTCTAGTGCCTGCTTGGTGACACTTTCCAGGAGCAACTGATAAGGTGTGTCCTACCTCTGTTGCATGATCATTCACCCTTACTGTGTGTTTGTTTTGTTCTTTTTTTTTTTTTTAAAAGCACTTCAGCGAGGCTCTTACCAAAAGGGATGTAGTGGATTTGTTTTCGTAGTGCTACCTCTTACATTAAGTGTATGTGTGTTTTTTTTTCCTTTTTTCTATTAGAGTATAAAAATCAACTGATGTGCACAAAATATTTCTTTAGCTTCTGTATAGAGTTCAGTAACATCAATGCAAGCAATTGTTTGAGACACTAGGTAGTTGCTCTCTTGAGGGAACTCTGAATGCCTGGGGAAATGTGTAAAACTCATTCCTTATATCATGAAACTAGAGCATGTAAGAAATTCTCAAAAAAAAAAAAAAAAGATGCCTAAAAGATTCAGCGATTGACTTGAGAATTTCAGTGCTTAGTTTGAGGTGTTTACCTGAACTCTTAACATAGCAGTGAGCTGTCTAGTGATGACTTGGCAGAGGTGTGCTAGAATTGCTCTACAAATCAGTTCTGGAAAAATGTAATGTTCTTCTACCAGTCTGGAGTGCTTCAGTGCGGTTTATTTTTTGGAGGCCATAATATTAAAAACTATTGTCCTTAAACACCTAATACCACTTCCTTCCTTTGGAGCGAAGCATCTATTAGAAACTTAATTAATGGGGTAAGCCACAAGATACCTGTAGTTCCTCCTATAGGTTGTTTTTGCCTTTCTAAACAGAAGGCTCTAGGATGAGAATAAGCGTTGCATGTAAACTCTAGCAAGTTAAGACTGAAACAAGTTGAAAGATGTAATTAGAGCTGTGAGCCCTCAAAACAAATGTTTCAGAAATTGGCAAAAGACTTGGAAATCTTTACTCGGGGATGCAAGCAAAGGTATTGGGGATTTTATTGGGTTTTTTATTTAGATTTGCTTTAAGTATTGCCCTTTTAGCTCTCTGTGTTACTTTGTGACCCAGTCTTAAGTATCTACCAAGCTCCTTACTTGGTTTTGTGTCTGTAACTTTAAAAACTTGACTCTGAGTCTGCCCAGTTTAAGTTAAATGCATTCTTCATGTGTAGTTTGAATGTTAAGTATTGAACAGTTGTCAGTATTACGAGCTTTAGCATCTGTGACGTTTGTAACTGGCTATAAAGTCAAAGGGCACAAACTCTACCTCTAGGGAAGACTTTTTTCCTGTTCCACTCAGTGGTGGAAATGCTCAGTTATGTGAGTCAAGCAAGGAAGTAACAGCAGGTAGTTAAGACATCTGAATAGTTTTCCCACTCATATTAATTTGGCAGCTGTTTGATCCCTGAGGTTGCCATTTTAATGAGAAACCCAGCATGATCTCATGTTATCGAGAGATTAGAGCTGCAGTCTGAGAATTGAACTTGAGGACATTTCCACAGCTCAGGAATCTCTCTGGCTTGCTTTAAGGAAGACATTGCAAGAGCTCCTGATCTTGCTTGTCTTTGCCTCAACTGGGTCTGCTTGCAGATAAGTTCAGCTTGGATAGGGGTGCATATTAGCTTCAAATATTTCCTGTTGTCTTTTAATGTTAGAAGCGCGTTTCTATTCTGAAATGTTAGTTTAAATTCTGAGCATCTGTCAACTTTTTCTTGCAGTTGTCAAAATAATAAATGAATGTGCAGGCCACTGACTTAGTCCTATTACCATAATAGGAGCTTCACGTTGATATCCAGCTTTATATTCTGCTAGATTCAACAGTGGTTTTTTCTTAATCAGTTTGTTTGCTTCTCTGCTTTTTTTTTTTTAAGATGTTGAGGGGAGAGTCATCTAATGGAAAGATAAGTTAAATGGTTTGTTAGGCCTTCAGAATGGGGCTTCTCCTCATGTTTTCTTTGGTAAAGTGATAGCTGTTATTCCCACCCCATCCAAGTGGCAATACACTAATGGCTTCTAGATGTTGTTGCTGGAAAACGCCATCTGGGTGCTGGAATTCATGTGGTCCTATTCTTAAAAACTCAACCAGTATGGTTTTTTTAACTAAGCATATATGCACCTTGAATTATCTCTGTGTAATTCAGCCATTCCTTGTGTAAAATTCCAATATGCTGTTAAATGGAAACAGCCTTTTCAAAAAGGCTTAAATCAAAGATAAGCATCTGCTGTGGTAGTTCAAAATCGAAGTTGAGCAAGAATGTCTCGTGCCTGCACTTCTAGAGCATAGATGGTAAATGCTTCTTGAAGCCATTCTTCAGCTGAGATGGAAGGAAGGTGCTAAGCAGTTTTACTTGGAACCTGTCACTGGGCTTTTCCAAAAGTTTTCAGCTTTCGGAGCATCTGATAAGAGATCTTGCATTGCTAAGAGGAAAGTGTTTAGGCTCTAGCTTTACAAGGGCTTCTGTATGCTGCATCTTAGGGGCAGGAGGTAAGCTGCCTCCTGATAATCAAACTTGTTATGCGGTGTTCCTTTTGCTTATCTTATTCCTGTAGCCTTTGAGATGTTTCCAGGCGTCAATTCCATGAGCAAGCTAGTTGACATTTATTTGGTTTTTTTTGTACTGCTGTCTGACAGGCTAGCTATGGCTTTGAGTTTTTTGGAAAAACTCAATTAGTGATTCAAAGCCAGTAGTAATAGACTGGGGAATATCTGACTGTATCTTAAAAAGAGACAAGTTCTTGATTCTGTTAACCATACCTGCAACTTCTCCAGTTATGAGCAAGTTCTAATATAAGCTTACTTTACTATGGCTTTAACCAGTCATTCTGGGAAATAAAAACCCACTTTGCTGTTGAGTGATTGGTCTGTGGAATAGCTCGACACTAATTTCACAGTGAGGTTTGATAGATATGATGTGAGCTTGGATGGGTGGCTGTTAGAGGAGTTAATTATGAGCGGTGGAAATGGCGAGTACAGCTCTCCAACCAATGTTGAGGCTGTTTTGGCTGTGCATCTTAATTGCAGAACAGAAACTTGACTGACTTCAGTACAGTGTTGTGGTTTGCTATCTTGTCTAACTCCGCATGTTAACTGTGGAAACTTTAGCAAGACTATTTTGAAGGATGTTTTTGGATACTCATTTAGGTTATTCTTGGAGGTACAGACTTTTTCTGTTTCTTCTCAGTAGACAAACCCAAGCTCTTCCCTTCTTTCTGTGCTTACAAATGCACCTTGGGTATCCATATTGCCTTTCTTGGGTGGAGCACTGACCAGCTCATGCTATGACTCCTTAAATGAAGGAACATCAAAATGGAGAGGATGTAATGCTAAAGAGATCACAGGTGAATAGGTAGTAAGAAGCCCATACGATTCATGTGCACGCGGTGCTTGTTTTGCCATCCTGGCAGTAATGTATCTTGTGTGCTGGATATCATAGCCATCAAAAACGTTTTGTGCTTAGTTTATATCAATGAAACTGTCTTTTCAAGGTCACTGTCTTCATGTCCAGGTTCTTCCTGAACACTCATTGTTGTAGCCTGTGGGAAATCTGATAATACATGCTTGAGTGGTGATACTATAGCTTTTTTTTTTTTTTAATTCCTTCTATACTAAAATGGAATTGATTTCTTTCCTTCTAACTACTGCCTTAGGGTAAAGCTGTCTTTAAAAAGAAAAATATATCAGTGGAGGTGTGTTTTCTATTTGACAAACATTAGCCAACTAGGTTTGCTTGACTGTTTTGCCTTCTCTGGACCCTTCAGAGTTAGTTCCAATCCATAATCTATGGGTTATACAGTAGTTTTTTCAAAGATTTTGATGGCTTGTCTCCTACACACTGAGGGCATTATCAGAAATGGTGGACTGATCAGTGTGAGGTGATGTTTCTTCAAACTGCTCTATTTGTGGGATATGAAGGATAGAGGTATATGCAGGGGATGAGGGAAGAAGAATGCTTTCATATGAGACATTTTTGGACTTGCGTGTGCACTCTGAACCTTGCGTAGGTTAGCTGACAACACCTCTTTGCTTGGAAGCAATAGACTATTGAGGGAATAGCTGACAGCAGGTGGAGGAGCAATGTTGATGCTAAAAGCTAGTTGTCTTGACAGTTCCCTGTTTTCTCCCCGTTCCATGCAATTGATTCCAAACTGGGCTAACGTACTGCTTTTCACATCTGAAATTCAATTTCATGTTGTCTTGCAGGAATGACACCAAGGAAGATGTGTTTGTCCATCAGGTAAGATTTCTATGAGAATAAGTTTTGCCTCTCTTAAAAGTTGAAACGTTGCCTCTCTGAAATCTTTTCTGTCTGACCTTACCTAAAAAGGATTGAAGTTGTGGAAGAGCTACGCACTCTTCAAAAGAAGGTACTTAACAAAACTTTCTCGCTGCTGAATTCCAAGTAGAGCCTTCTTGGGGATTCCACACATCCACATGCATCCATCATGAGGGCATGAAGTTTATGGGATTGGGCAGACTGGTTCTGTCTAGTGGTGATACTTACACTGTGTCCCCAAGTGTACTGTTTGGGGACAACGGTCTGAAGTCCAGTTAAGTTGTATTGCAGGTTCATATGGTTAGAAAGTAAGCATATGGAAAGAACTTTAAACAGAAAGCTTGCAGTGTGAGAATAATGCAGTAGGCTCTAACAGGAATGAAGAACTGGTGAAAATTTTTCAGGAAAACTCTTGTTTATGGAATTTGTTGCTCCAAACTTTCCTTAATTAAAAGTCAAGGATCAACTCTAATAGGTACTTTTTCAGTTTAAGAGATAAATACGCTTAAATACAATCTGAGGACACTATATACACCACATTAACCTTAGAGGCTACTCACTCTTCCTTTTCCTCTGGGAACTAGACCAGATCTGTGGGACTCTGATCAGTGAGACTGCGAGATTAAAAAAGCAGATGTGTTACACAAACTGACTTGAGTCCTTTGTGTCTGACTGCCTGTGAATCTGAGATCAGCACTTTTTTTTTTATACACTTTCTGCTCAGGTGCTCTTGTTCAGAGTCCTGGTAAAGCAGCACACAAGCAGTGTGGTTTACTTTTTGCATTTAGAAGTCCATGGATTGTTCTTTTGCTTTGGCTAAGGCATATACTGCTGATGCTGTAAACACTGAGAGAGAAAAAAGTAATCTCTGGAAAAGCGTTCCGGCTTCAGTTTGATTTGCCAGCTCTAAATTTCTTGCCTGTGCTACATCTGAATTATTGCTTATACAAATGTAGAGGCGTTTGTTTATAATAGGTTATTCTGTAATGGGTAGTGGAGAAAGTCCAAGAGACTATGCTAGGTTTTTCTGTACTGAGGCAGGAATATATACCCTGAAGGAAAGCAGTCTGTCTTACTACTTGATTTGCAAGTACAGTAACCTGTAACTACAGTGCATGTTTCTAAAAACACAACTTGGTAGTGTCTTGTTTTAATTCAACAGTTTTCATGATAGAGGAGTTCTAGAGGGTCTAACCTGAAATATATCAGCTTGTCTAGGAATTATGGCTATGTATGTATCTTCCCATCCAGTTATCAAGCTTGGTTCTCATGAAGATGTTATGCTCAGCTACTAGTGCTATAGGATTTCCTGTGTTCCCTCTAAAATGACTACTCTATAGGCTGAAACTTGTGACTGTGTTGTGCCGTGGATTTTATTCCCTTTAGGGCATGAAGCTAGCAGAATGCTGTCAGTGGTATTTCATTTTTGCCAAATTATGCTTGTATTCAGTTAGTGTTTGATAAACAGAAAATGGCTTGAGAGCAGTGTGTATTGAGCATTAACACCCTTGTCAAAAATGTTATCTGTTGTTGAATAGCACAGAGAATTGAACTTTTTCTAGTAATGCCATTTAGCATAGAGAGATTATATATGTATACATACATGCAAAGGCAGCTTTGCTGTCCCCACGGATGGGCTAATCCACACAGCTAGAATAGCTTTGTGATTGATGAAAAATATTAGGGCTTCTGCTGCAATATGGGGAAAGTTGAGGAAATCTCATTATTTCTGGCCATTGATGTGATGACATAGCTTGGGACAACCACATTGCAGGCTGCAGCAAACTATTTTTGTGGGAAATAGCAGAGGACTAGAAATCTGAGTCACGTGACTGGAAGGGCCAAAGCAGGCTTTTATGTTGACTAGAAGTAAACACTCCAGAGGAATGTACAAATACTTTGAAGAACTCTGGGCTAAACCTCAGTTAGGAATACTGTGGCCAGTTTGTATCAATTTTGTAGCTCTTCAGAGTGTGTGTGGGTGGGTGTGTTTTTTTTTTTTTTAAACACTAACAGAAGGTATACCGAAAGCTATATTTCTAGCTGATGATGCTTAACACACAGGACTCTAGGTTCTTGCATCCCAGTGTCCTTTGTCTGACACAGCGTTTATGCATTGCTCTTACTGCTTCCCTTACTGTCCTTAGACGTTCATAAAAGGCCTGTACGTGTTTCAGATGTGCCAAAACTATCGTAATGCAGTTAAAATTAATGGCTTTTTGTAGTTTTCAGTATGGTTTGGTTGCTCCTTCAAGAGGACATGTCTTCCTCCGAAGAACTTAGCTGCTTAAACTCCTTGATCTTAAAAGACTTCAGACATGTCAAATAGTGTTTTTATGCTATGCCTGTAAATGTAATTCTGGAATATTATGTTGTTAGACTGCCATAAAGAAGAATAACCCCAGGAAGTACCTCCGCAGCGTAGGAGATGGAGAGACCGTGGAGTTTGATGTGGTTGAGGGAGAAAAGGTAAGCGCATCTCTCGGGTGTTACAGTATGCGCAGAAAACCTGGTCTGTTGACTTTGGTGTGGTGTCTGCGGTTTGAGAGGATGCCTAATGACTTCCTAGGAGATTAATGGTTTTTCATTGCTGTACAATGTGGATGTAAATCGTTGCTTGCTACTTAATTATAATATGCTATGACTGATTTGATGCGCATTGTTTACCTCATGCCATCCTTGTTCTTTAGGGCGCGGAGGCAGCTAATGTTACAGGTCCTGGTGGAGTTCCAGTGCAAGGCAGTAAATACGCAGCAGACCGTAACCATTACAGACGATATCCACGTCGTAGGGGTCCTCCACGCAACTACCAGCAAAACTACCAGAATAGTGAGAGTGGGGAAAAGAACGAAGGAGCAGAGAACATACCAGAAGGTCAAGCCCAACAACGCCGTCCTTATCGCAGGCGGCGGTACCCACCTTACTATATGCGTAGGCCCTACGGGCGTCGACCACAATATTCCAACCCTCCCGTGCAGGGAGAGATAGTGGAGGTAAAAATTACATAAAAATCTGATCTTACAAGCTGGCTTGATTCCTACGGAGCGGGGTGATGGGATGCGGCTTCCCCCACTGCCCCCTTATATATATATATTCAAGACATTCAGAGAAGTTTAGCAGTAAGGTGAAATGTTTGAACTGATGTCAGTATGCTGGGAGTCCTAGAAACATAGTGGCCCAAAAAGTGGGCCGTGTTCAGATGGATATCAACTTTCTGTATGAGTCACTGGAAAAAAACACTGAAATTCTACACAGTGTGTACTGTTGTGCTCTAGGCCCACTGTGCGTTGTGCTGTACTCTTCAGGCTCAACTGACAGCCCCACTGCCCCTCTTGCAGCCTTTTACTTAGCTGGATTGGTTGGCTTGTTATCGCGCTTTTGCATGTGGCTAAGGTGGCTCGTTGCCCAATGTCTTCCAGGGTGCTGACAACCAGGGTGCAGGAGAACAAGGCAGACCAGTCAGGCAGAACATGTATCGAGGTTATAGACCACGATTTCGCAGGTATGCTGCAGATCAGCTTTTTGTTACCTTGCGGTTTAGCATCACGGACAGAATGTCGCGATGGTCAGATGCTGCATTGTTAAAGCCTAGCTTGACTTTCAGGGGTCCTCCTCGTCAAAGACAGCCAAGGGAGGATGGAAACGAAGAAGATAAAGAGAACCAAGGGGATGAGACCCAAAGTCAGCAGCCACCTCAACGTCGGTACCGTCGTAACTTCAACTACCGACGCAGACGCCCAGAGAACCCTAAACCACAAGATGGCAAAGAGACGAAGACAGCCGAACCACCAGCTGAGAACACGTCCGCTCCCGAGGCCGAGCAGGGCGGGGCTGAGTAAATACCGGCTTACCATCTCTACCATCATCCGGGTGTGTGTCCAGAGGCTTTGGAGGGTGGGATTTGAGGACTGACTTTTTGTTGACGTTTCCCTCTAGTTTTTGCCTTACAAGTTTGGACTGTTCTCACTAAAGCCTATTGTAAGCAACTAAACTAGCTGCAGTTGTGAGCGTAGTTGTTGTTGTCTCCAGAATTGAACTGTAAGACTTTACTGTCCAATGCAGATTAGTTGGAGGACTTGGTTACCAGCAGACTTTTTTTGTTGTTGTTTTGTTAGTGGGCCCATTTCATAGAACGCTACTAATCTGAAAATCTTGGATGAACTCAGTGTTTCAAGCTTAAGACAGCCCCGTAAGTCGTAATCCAAGAGGTACTAGTGCAGTGTAGTGAGTGAAGGTACTCTGCTAGGAGAAAGCTGGGCAAAATCGCTAGGATTTACTCCCGGGTGTAAGCATCTTGGCTTTTGTTGCCCCATCCCAGAGGGGATGTGAGCAGAATTAAGGCCTCCAGGCCTTAATTTCTAATAACTTGGCATGGGATTTGCAAGAGTGTCTCAGTAGCAGCTTTATATTTGAATAAAAAAAGTATTGGAAGAACTAACAGAGTCCTTTTTATGCAGCATCTGGTGTATCTGAGGTAGCATTCAATTTGGGGCCCGGCTTTCCCAGGGTGAAGTACTGGCGTGGCTTGCTGTTTATGGGAGGATTGCGTAAAGGTGAATTGTTAAAACGTCTTCATTGCAAGGTAGACTAGCTGTGATTTGGCACTTGGTGCTGTCTTCTAATACGCGTTATTGCTGGCTCGGGAATATGTTCCCTGCTAGGATGGTTGTTCTTGTCCTCTATTCTGCTTTTTCTGGCACCTTCCTTGTCTGTTCTTCCTCCCTTTTCTTTTTTATTTCTTCTTTTACCAGTGTTCATATCCCATCCCTATTGTGTTCTCTTGCCACCCTTTGCCTGGAAGGCAGGCAAACGGAAAGACGCGTTTAGACTCTGGTGTGAGTTCTAATAAATGGTCACGTTATTGAGATTAATAGGAAATGCAAGAGTTGGCAATGAAGAGTAGTTTGTCATCTGCAGCTACAAGCCTTTCAGCTGCTTAGGAACTCTTCAAGGGCTTAGATCTTATGGAATTTGTCATGCAGATTGCTTATTTGATACCTCCTTAAGTCTTACCGCGGCATCTTATGTGTGCTTGATGTGAACCTTTGGAGTTAATGGTTAACACAAGCTGGGTGACTTCTTTATATCATGAACTTCAAAGAAACACCAAGATAACATGTTTGTTTGCTTCTCTGCCTATTAGTAGTATCGGAGAATATAAATTGTGGCTTCTGTGGGCTGGGAAGTAGCTTACTGAAGCTGTTCTGCCTCTGTTAGCCACAGGTAGAAATATGCTGTTCCACCACCTTTTGCAAATCTCAGCGGTTGTCCCCATGTCTTTCCAGGGACTTGCTCAGAGTTTACCAGCTGAGTTTCTAGACCTGCTCACAGAGATCAGCAGAGAGGGAGAGTGCTGCAGTTGTCTGTCTGCAGAGCCAAACAGAGCAGCCTAGTCCAGTAGGCTGTCACGAAACGGTCTCTGAAACGGGAGGCCAGTGAGGGGAGAGATGTGCACTTTGAATTTTGACTTTTTTCTCTGAAATCCATTGCCATAGGTTTTGCACGTGAGGTGACAGTTCTGGTCATGACAGTTCGGTCACTGGCAGGTGGTCTGATAAGGGGAATGTGTCTTCCTAGTGTGAAAGTTGTAGCTAAGATATTCCACGTGTGTGGTGGTGAATGTTAGCTCTGTGAATTGAAGTTGCAAGTGGGTCTTGGTAGACAAAGCATGTAGTCAGGCCTGTGGTATCTGTCTGATGACTCTTTTTTCTTTTTCAGTTTAGTCATCAAAGAAAAGACTATGAAATGAAGAAGAAAAGAAAATGAAATTCCAGCAATAAGAAATGAACAAAAGAATTGGAACTGAAGACCTTAAGTGCTTGCTTTTTGCTGTTGACCAGATTACTAGAACTATCTGCATTATCTATGCAGCATGGGGTTTTTATTATTTTTACCTAAAGAAGTCTCCTTTTGGAAACGATAAACACGTTTTTTAAAAGCCTGTTTTTTCTCAATACACCTTTAAAGGTTTTTAAATTGTTTCATATCTGGTCAAGTTGAGATTTTTAAGAACCTCATTTTTAATTTGTATGAAATGTACACCTGATTTTTTCAAGTCAAACTGCAAGCATCTGTTAATAAAGGTCTTAAAGAATTACCTTGTGTGCTTGGCTATTTTAAACCCCCTTTTATATGGAAGGGGATGAGTTAAGTGTTCATAAGAGGATTGAAAAAATGCCTTTATTTTCTATTTAGAGGTCTTTATGAAAATGCTGAGCTCCTGCACTCTTCACTTTGAAGCTCTATGAAACCAGAGTGAAATCTGCAACTGCAAGGCGCTTGTTTTCCTGCTCCTGCCCTGCTGGAGTGTGTTTGTGGCTACCTTTCCCTTACTTTCCTGTAGTGGGAGTTAACTGCATTTGCAACATATTTCTGCACGCAAGTTATTGTGGGGAAATACCCAGGGAGGCCTGTGGAGCCTCTTCCCCTGAGCACAGTGGCTTGGGGAAAGTTACAGCACCTGGACCCAAGGCAGCAAGAGGTGACAGCAATCCTCTGCTGGTGGGCTGTAATAGGGGGAGAAAGGCCTGGGCTTTTGCTTGGGTGCTCCCTAGGATTGTGCAAATTGTGCGGGTTGTTTCAGCACTGGTGCCCTGGGTTTTCTAGTGTAATGGCTCAGGGGTTGTTAGGTGCTGATGACCCTTGATAGCAGGTGCTACCTAGCAGGGGTAACGTGCAGGGTGTAGAACTAGTGATTCAAATGCAGAGGCTGAACTCTGCTCACACAGTAAAACCTGCGACAGGCAGCATCTGCTTCCTCCTGTTTCGAGGCAGAGCTCTGTAGCAGGTGGCTGAGGCTTCCCTCCTCCTGCTAAACCAACTCTCCCCACCTCTTTCCAGCCATCTTCTTGAGTAAAGTTCTTGAAATGGAAATCTGTGACCATCCTTCAAAACATACTTCATACTGGGAAAGGGACAGTCCATGCTGTCGGCGAGCTTGTGGGTGGCGGCTGCTTTTTCTTTTTCTTTTTTTTTTTTTTTAAAGTAATCCTATAGCAAATGGGTGAAAAGGTTTCCAGAGGAGGAAGATGGGGGAGCTTGGTGTCAGCTGAGTGCACTTCTAGAAGCTGCTGGAGCGGCTCAGCTGCATCCCTGCTGGAAAAGGGCCATCGCAGAACTGAGGTGATGCGTGGGTGCTTCAGCTTGTCATTGGACGTGCGCAAAGTACTGCTGCTCAATGGCACTGATGTTGTGTTTTTACAGGTGAGGTCCTGCCAAATTTGCCGGTGTCCTAATGCCTGGAAGGGGAATTTAGGCCGAGTCAGGGAAAATGGAAGTGTCCGGGTGGGTTTGAAACCCAGGGGCTCTGGCAGCAAATATCTACTGAGCGCAAGATCACGTGGGCGTGGGGCTTGGCCCTCAGCCCCGTGGGGGCTGCTTCCTCTTAGGAGGCCGTTGCTGGAGAACCCAAACTGCCGCCCGTAGGCGCTCTGAGGCGGTGATAGGCGGCGTCACGCTGGGTGCGAATGAGACTGGAAGCGGGAGCTGCTGCCTCGCGGTGAAACCACTTCTCACCGCAGTTAAAACCTTGCAGGGACCGAGACGAGTGTGTTGGGACTCTCTGGAGATCCAGAGCTGCTTATAATCCCGGGCGCTGCTCGTTCAGTCTCACCCGGCCCTGCCGTTCAGCTCACCCTGCCCTTGTAATACAGGCTATAAATTACCGGTAACAAATATAACTCTGCCATCAAGGAGCGCCCGGTGGGGTCTGATTGTCTAACAGCTTTGAATGCGGACTGTAGCTTTCCTTTCTATGCATTAATGAGTTCTCCACTTGAATCATGCAAATGCTTGCTCTTTTTAATTGCTTTCCTGTGTGTTCAAGTGGCAACTGTTAGCAGTCCTGCGCGTTTAGGCGAGGTTGTATCTCTAAATGCTACCCCTGTCAATCTTTTGGATTGCAGGCATCCTGCTGTTTAATATCGACTGTTCAATATGTGACCGTCGGTCACGCACTGGAGCTGCTCTTTGTTTGTCACGTGGCTTTAGCCGTCAGGCTTCCTGATGTTTTAGGTCTCCATGGCGTTGCCTTAGCCTCCGCCGGTAACATCGACGGGCCCGTTCCCGCGCTGCGGGACGCAGCGGTCGGCCAGCGTCGTTTCCGCCAAGCCCCCGAAGCGGGGAGCTGCAGTAAGGAGACAGGTTTATTCGCCGCTTCTCTGCTTTGCGCGAGACGAGAAGGATGTCCTTGGCTGCTCTGGGGACGGGAAGCTGGCAGGACCTTCGCAACCGTTCCGCTTTTTGGGGTGCATACGCGCTTTGTAGACTGTCTAGGCCGAGCGCCCTCCGCACCTTTCTATTGCAGGGGCCTCCTGCCTTTAGGCTGGGGACTCGATCTTCTGTCTCTTAGGGCCACAAACCCCATTTCGGGGAGCTTTTAGTCTGCCCTCCCTCCACGGCGATGGTTTCTGGGCGCTAATCTTTGGGTAAGAAGCAGGGGTGAGCTTGGAGGAGCAGCGAGCCTGGAGGTTGGCCGCGTAGCTGCCTCTGATCTCCAAACCATAGCGGAGGTGCCTGCAGCTGCCGGTTCTGCCCTCTGATGCCTTCGATGTTTCCAGAGTTGGCAACGGATCAACTTTAGAGACAAACACAAGGATAAGCAGAGCAGCAAGGACTGATTTTTCTCTCTCTGGGTTCCTTCCTCCGGTTAGTTGAGCGTTCTCAGCCCCCACAAGCGCCTCGGGGGACACCAGCATCCCCAGAGGGGACAGGAGCGGGCTGCGCGTTTTGTGCTGTGAGGCTTTTCCTCGTTTGCAAATTACTTTTGGCTGTTGAACAGGGAGGCTGAGCTCAAAATCAGGGACGATCTTTTTATTCTCACCGGTTGAGGTGGGGGTTGGTGGTGGTTTGGGGCTCTGGCTTGTTTTTAAAGCAGTTTGCAAGGGAAGAAGGATAATAATTCACTTGGAAAAACAGTTCCCCGTTTGCCTAGACTTCAAAACCGAGCGTTGCAGGGGGAGCTGCTCCTACTCCGAACAGACTCGCCTCCCTCGGTTCCTGCTACATATGGATGCCGTTATACCAGTGCCACCCCACGATAATGTTAATAAATGCTCCAGGCTATTAGCTTTACCTTTTCTTTTTTTTTTTTTTTTTAATGCAAACTCAGCGCTGCCAAATTCCCGAGCGTGGGGAGTATTTCCAGCGGGCCGGGGCGTTATCTGGGCCACCAGCCACGTGGAGTCAGTGTTGCTCTGCGCTGAAAATGCTTCGAACTAAATTCGTGCGAAGCAGCAGCCGGGCGATATCTGGAAGAGCTGCTTTGCCGCTGTTAGCAGAGGGAGCGAGGGCCCCCCGCTCTGCAAGGCGATTCAGGACGTCGGGATTTGGGATTTACCAGCGGCTCGTGCGCGCTGCAAACCGGGAGACGCGCGGCACCGGTTACCTCTGGCCTTTGAACGGTTCCTCTGGCCTTTCGCAGCCTCTCGTTACCTGTAGCCGCAAGGATTTCGATGCCGGAGGGCCCAAACGGCTCCCA